AAAGCTGAAGACTGACTAATAGATTAAATCAGCAGTCTCCGGATTGAAGTCTCAGAAGTTGTAAACAAAAATAAAGGGAGCACTTTTGTCCGTGACATGTCAGGAACAAATTACCCAAATGTGTTTTCTCCTCCTCAGGTGTCAGTTTCTTCCCTCTGTCAGTGACTGACGGCTCCCAGTGTTATTGCAGAAACAGATTGATCTTTTTAATGAGCCAGTTTAATAGACTCCAAAATCTCACCGTGGCTGCTCATCCATGTCAGACCATATGCACCAACAAAACATTCAGTAAAACAAAACAAAAACCAACCCCCCCCCAAAAAATAAAACAAACAAACAAAAAAAAGCTTTGCTGCCAGACACCTCTATACTCTATAAAATTTCATACTGTAGATTTGGATGTACAGATAAATAATGAGCAAAAGGGAAAATGCAAATGCAAACAAGATGTAGAAAATATATGCAAAAAAAAAAATGCTGCCGAGGACCATATTTTCTTGGATCTGCTCAAATTCCCATAAGATACAAATGTATTTACACAACACATTCTCATCACCCCTCCTTCTAACTCTGAGGGGATGGGAGGAAGAGCGAGACTCATTTAGCATCCTGCCTTCATAATACATATTTCAGAATTATAGTACATTGATCTGAGTTCAGCCCAGAGATCACTGTGTAAACCTTAACTTTGGTGACCACTCACGTATGAGGAAAACAGAGATGTCAGCTTCTCCCCAAACTATAGGAGAATTTTGTATGCATAAATACTAGTAGCTATCATTTTTCATTAAAATATAATTCTGGGAAGAATTAGTTACTCTTATAAAATTGAAGATATATTTTCCCACTACTGCAGCATTACAGCTAGCTTTTACATGGGATTCCCAATGCAAATTTTATTATGAAGAAAGCCTAAATCCTGAAGAAAGCCTAAATCCAAGTTACGTATCAATAGAAAATGTTTATGATCATTGGAGAACAGGGAGGGAATTCCAAACTATGATGCACTTCGGTTGTCTGCTCTGAAATGACCTCTGATTACAGAATACTCAAACTTACTTTGATTGCCTCATCATCTCAGGATCTATACCTTTCTTGTGTCAAACACATTATCCTCTTTCCCAATGGAACAGTAGAATACCTATGCCAATAGGTATTCTAGATGTGAGCTAGATGATAGAACTGCTAGGTGGCTCCTGAACTGGTTTAATGACCATACCAAAAGAGTAGTCATTAATGATTTGATGTCAACTTGGATGGAAGTCCCCAGGAGAGAGCAACAAGGATCTGTGCTTGGCTTTGGGCTGTTCAACATTTTTATCAATGATTTGAATAATGCCACAGATGGCATACTTATTAAAGTAGGAGAAGCCACAAATTGAGATAGAGAGGCAACACACAGGAAAACTCTTGGGATACAAGAAGATTCTGAAAGATTAGAACAGTAAGTCAAATCTAATAAGAAGAAATCTAATTGAGACAAATGTAAAAACAAAAAACAAAAAAAAAAACACCTCACACAGTTAGTCCCAAAATGGTTTTAACAAATACAAGATAGAGGAGACATGCTTCAAAAGGAGTTTATTTGAAAAAGGTCTGGGGGTTAGGAATCCAATTAATAGTAGGAAGTAGATGCAAAAAAACAAAAACAAACAAAAAAAAACACCCCAGAACAAAACAACCCTAATGTGATCACCAGTGGCATTAAGCAAAGTGTAGAATCCAAAACTAGGCTGATAATAGTCCTGATGGATTCTGTCCGTTAGACAATTAGACCATATTTGGAATTGGAGAAGAGTGATCAAGATGCAGGGTATCCTAAAGATCATGGCCCAGATGACCAATAGCAGAAGCTGGACATGTTTAACCTAGAGAAAAGAAGACTCAGGAAAAGTCATGATAGCTGTCAGCATCAAGTATCTGGGAAGATACATGAAATAGGGATTTAATTTATTTTTCTGATTGAGGCCAAAGGGCCCAATTGGAATAATTGTTCAAAATTAAAGAGAAGATTTTGAAATGACATAAGGAAAAAATATATTCTAACAATTAGAGCTATCAAAAAGTAGAAATGTACTGTTTTAGGAGGAAGTATAGTCAACCTCATTAGAGGTCTTCAAAAACAGGCCAGATGGCCACTTTTGGGATATGTTATAGGGAGGATTTTAATTCGTGTTCAGGTTGGACTGAATGGTTCTAAGGTCCCATCCAACTCTGAAATTCCATGGTGGCCATCCTCAATCTACTATCTGCATGTGACTTGTTAGGTTTTAGAATATGTAACATTTGGGGATAATCTGTCCCTAAGATAGTTTAGCTTCCTCACTTTGATATCATGAAAATATTGCTCTTAGTTATTAGCACCAGGGATGTTCACATGTTCCATTTTATTAAGCACCTACAGCACACACTGCTAGATTCTAAAGATATAAAGATCTACACGACACAGACTGTTCTCAAAGAGCTTCCAATGGGGAAAAGTCTAATAAGGGACCACAAATTTAGAATTGGAAGGGACTTTAGAGATCATCTAGTACAATGCTCCCTCCTCCCAGATGAGAAAAGCAAGTATTTGAAAGTATAAATGTATTGCCAAGCATCACAGAGCTAGTGTCAGAGACAGGATTTGAACCCAGGATTTTCTGATTCAAAGTCTAGCACTCTAGGTACTATACTACTAACCAACCTAATGAATCACTTATACATATCATGGGGTGGGGGAGAAAAGTCTTCTTCAAGGAGGTAGCATCTAGGGGGCAGCTAAGGGGTGCAGTGGATAGAGCACTGGCCTTGGATTCAGGAGGACCTGAGTTCAAATCTGGCCTCAGACATATAAAAACACTAGCTGTGTGACCCTGGACAAGTCATTTAACCCCATTACCTAACCAAAAATAAATAAATAAATAAATAAATAAATAAATAAATAAAAGATAAAAAAAGAAGGTAGCATCTATGTAGAGTGTTAAAAGGAAAAAAGGGTTTTCAATATGTAAATATGATGTAGAGTTAGTACATTTCAGATATGGGGAAATGTACTCAAAGCACACCCATGGATATGGGAGAGGACAGGAAAATAAGCAGGGCAAGACAGACTTAAATCTAGTTTGGGTGAAACGCAAAAATAAAAAACAGTTTAAGAAAAATGGCTGAAATGGTAGGTCTGACTTAGATGTTGGAATCTTGAATGCCAGCCTCAAGATTGATACTTTATTGGATAAACAATGAGAAGCCACTAAATGTTTTTGAATAGAGGACAGCTGTGGTCAAAGTGGTAAAGGGTACAAGGTTCATCGCATACTTAAATGTGACCAAGAAAATATTTGCAGAAATAAATTATCGGTGATGGGAAATTGAAGATGGTTCAGAATGTCAAGTACACAATATGTCGGAAGTGTTCTGATATTTAATCAATTAAAAAAGACTTTATTAAGCACTTATGAGCCATCCATTAGGTTAAATGCTAGGGATACAAAGAAAAAGAAAACTACTGAGAAATGAGTAAAGGAAAAAGTCAATCTCAGAAAAGACTTGTAATAATTTTAAAAATAGCATCAAAATTTCAAAGACTGAGCTGATAATAATTGTATGATAAAAATGAGTAACAAAGTTGTTAATTTTAACAGGTCTCTATGTGACCAAGCACCTGCCAACCTTAATAGCTTCCATGTGTTTCAGAAGAGTTCTCTCACCAACTGTATTCTCTTTATGCTAATATGCATGAATGCACAAAACACAATCCTTCACCTCAAGAAGTTTTCGTTTTGATGGGTGGAATAAAAACACATGCATAAATAACAGAAGATGAAATATGATAAATAAGACAGGTACAAAGGTTTTACAATGGAAAATTACAACCTGAAGAGAGGGCAATAGAAGAAGACCATTTGAGAGAAATTAGGAAGACTTAAAGGAAAAGGGGACGTTTGATTTTGGTTTTCAAGGATGGCCAGGATCTCAACAGATATAGATGAAGAAAAGGAAATGATTAAAGGCATTGAGGTGGCAAGACAAAGGAAAAAGTACAGGAAAAAGTAGATAGTCCAGTTCGGCAGAAGCATAGATTAAATACATATATATATATATATATTTCCAATCAGTAAATGTTGAGTGATTTGGGGGGGAAAAAGCCTCACTAGTAATACCACAACACTCTGTAAGTGCCTCTAATCCATCCTGTTTCCATTCAGTAAAGACAAGTAGAAAAGAGAAACAATGTCTTAGGTCAAAGAAAGGCAACCACTATCTTCCTTCTAACACGGAGACTAAGAGTTAAAATTATATTTTTTGCTGCTACAAGAGACATTCAGAAAAAAAAGGAGGAAAAAGGGTCAAAATTAGCCTTAGAAGTACTCGAAAAAACAAAGAAACATATAAAAACATAGAAACTCAGAACAGTTAAAAGGGAAAGGATTCTTAAAAGTGAGTAGGATGGAATGTTGCAGAAAATGACAATTTAGCCACAATAGTTGAAATTTTAAAAGTACTTTTTAAAGTTTACAAAGTACCTCATATGGTTTTGCTCATCTGATCCTCACAATAATTGCATTGGGAAGGTATAACAGATATTATTCTCCTAATTTTAAATAGGAAGAAAATTAGATGCAGATGAGTTAAAGGCTCTTGCCCATGGTCACAGAGCTCATAAGCATCCTAAACTGGGATTCAAATTCAAGTTTCTACTAACTCTGCATCCAATGCTTCTTATCCCCCCTAGATTAATGGTAACTCACCCCCTACAATGTTAGCGAATAACACAGTAAGATTCATACGTGTATTTTTAACTTTAATAACAAAGACATTGTCCAAACTCCAGGTATCAGGAGTCCAAGGCAACCTTGATCCTTAGAATCAGCTAGTCTTCCTAGAACCCTTCTAGCTCTGTATCTATGATACTATGATCCTATGACCCACAGTAGCATCACTGGCCACAAGCGACTCCTTCAAGAACATGAAAAGGCCATCTCCTTCTGTAGATTTCTCTCAGCTACTCTCACTCTCACCTGTCTGGAGTTCGCCTCTTCCCATTTTCATTCACATCGAGAAGCAGCTCTGAGGAATCAACAGGTGAGGTGGTGTTGGCATCCAGGAGCAGCTGTTCGTGTTGAGCGAGGTACTGGGCAGGGTTCTGTTTGGCCAGTCTTGCGCAGTGCAGAAGCTCCCGTTGTAGAAGGGGGAGGTTGGCCTGCAAAAGCATTTCAGAAAGAAGAAAAAGATGGGCCAGGCTGTTCCATCTGGGACCAACCAACTGCATCCCACTGCAGACAATGTCTTGAGCTGGCTGAGCTCAAGAAAACTGCCTCCTCTTTTAAGCATAAGTTTTCAAGATGCCAGGCATGAACTCTTGTGCCTAAGACTGTGTGAAAACATAACCTGACGCATCTACCCACTACATCTTCTATTCCCAAAAATCAGGACTCAGAATTACATATAAATCCATGATGGGAACCGGAATAAGAAAAAAAGGCCTAAGTAGAACAAGATTTTCAAGTTACTCAAGATTACAGCACAGTCCCAGGTCAACTAATGACAAGCCATGATAGGAGTGGACATATGAGGTGCTTATGCCATATCGGAAACATAAATCCATCTTTTAAAAAATCTTTTAAGTACCTACTATGTGCCAGACACTATTTTATCTACTGGGGATACAAACACAAAGAATGAAACAATTCATACGCTCAAATAGCTTACATTCTAATGATAAATACACCAAATATTTATTTAAAAAACATATATATAGTATAAATATAAAGAGAACAAATTCAAAGAAATACAAGGTAGTTTAGAGAATGATGTAGGGTACTACTAGTTGGGGAGAATCAGGAAAGGCTTCATACAGAAGATGATGCTAGAATTGAATCTTACAGGAAGAAAGAGACTTTATAAGGTAGAAGTAAAGGGGGAGGAGTGCATTTCAGCCATGGGAATAGGAGATCACAAAGAATACTCCCTAAAGCATTCAAACATAATGAACTGAGGATTAGCTTTCCTTCAAGGCTCAACTCAAAGGCTACCTCCTACAGGAAGTCTTTCCAAATCCTCCTAGTTGCTAGTGGTCTATCCTTCCAGCTTATCTGCCTCCATGCCGTTTTCCCTCAGTAGAATGTATTCTCTTTCAGGACAGGGACTGTTTTCCATCCTGTTTCTTTATACTAGTTGAAACCAGAATCAAAAGAGTTTTATTATCTTAAGGCAAAAAAAAAAACAAAAACAAAAACAAAAACCACAAAACTGTATCAAAGTCATAGCTAAGGGGTAGAATGAAGAATCATTAGGTGAACTGCTCCTGGTTTATAATTTTGTTTCAGACAGGGAAAACTGAGGCAAAGGTGTATATATCAATCAATCAGTGACTCCTCTGCATCAGGTCCATTCCAGTATAGTGGTTCTTACTAAGAAATCACCCAAAACTTGTTCTAAAATTCTTTAGTGTAGGTTAAAAAAAAAAAGCTGTCCAAACATTATCCTGGTTAAAGGATTTTTTTTAAAACGTGAAAAATTCATAAAGATAAAATTTCAATATTTTTACAGAATTTTAGTGCTGGAAGACAAGTCAGACTTATGTCATCCAACCTGTATCTGAAGAAGAATCTACTCTTCCACAGAGGGTCACTCAGTCCCCACTTAAAGACAATGGTATGTCAATTCTGCCTTTGGATACAAGCACTAATTATCACTCAGCTTTTCCAGGCATCAGACAAAAATCTCTCTTTTTCTGCCTCTTTGATGTTCTGCTCCTAGTTCTACCTTCTGTAACCTTCTTCCACTTAACCGTCTTCTGACTGGTCCCTCATCCTTCAGTCTCCCTTGAATAGAATCAATGTTCTACACAGTTCCAAAATGACCTTCGTGAAGCATGGATCTGACCATGTCATGCCTCTACTCAATGAACTCCAATGGCTCCCTATTATTTCCAGGATCAAATAACAAAGTTCTCTATTTGGCATTTAATGCTCTTCACAAGCTGGACCCTTCTTCTATTTCTAGTCTTCTCACAAATTACTCACTTCCATATTCTTTACAATACATTGATATTAGCCTACGTGATCAGGTTCTACTTTGCTCTGCTATCCCCCACCTTGCCTGGAATGTTTTACCTCCTCATCTCTGCCTCTTGACATCACTGGCTTCTTTTTCTTTCTTTTTTTTTGTTGTTGGTGAGGCAATTGGGGTTAAGTGACTTGCCCAGAGTCACACAGTTAGTGAGTGTTATGTGTTTGAGCCCAGATTTGAACTCAGGTCCTGATTCCAGGGTCAGTGCTCTAATTACTGCGCCACTGAGCTGCCCCAACTGGCTTCTTTTTCAAGACTAAACTCAAACACTCTCCTGTGCAAGAGGGCTTCCTGGTCCCCATAGCTACTTGAGCCTTGTTTATTCTCTTCCTACTCTAAATGTACCTTACATATACCCATCCATTTATATAGTCGCCTTTGTTTGTATGTGACGTCCTGGAAAGCAGTGATGGGTTTTGTTTTATTTTGCCTGCCTTTGTGTCCCCATTGGCTAGCAAGTGTGTGGTACATAGTAAGCACTTAATAAATATTTGATTGATTGATTAAAGGCAGTTGTCGTTTCCCTATTAAGTCTTCTACAATGTAAATATTTCCAGTTTGCTTCACCTGATCTTCTTATAGTATAATCTCCTCCAATACATTCATTATATTGGTCATCCTTCTTTGGGTTCAGAGTAGTTTACTCCCATAATTGAATAAGTACTTCATTTGTAGTATGAGCAAGGCAGAATATAGTGGGACTATAACCTCCTCAAATGCAAGACTCATTTTTCAATAACAGGAAATGAAAGGTCTATGGTATCAATTCACTGAGCAGCTATGCGTTCTTTTCAATGATCATTATGACTAGTATAAGAGAACTCCTTAAGACCAGAGCTGAGATATAAAAACATCCTGATTCAGGTTTCCTGGCACTCATGATACCGAATCAGTCATAGTCGTCCTTGAGATATAAAGGATAATAGAACAGGCATGCACTGAGAAAGGGAGAAGATAGCAAACATGATTCCACATTTCAGGGAAGATCTATAAAGGTATACAAATTCAAGAGGCTAACAGGATGTAGGGGAAACCTGTGTATCCCAGTAACTCATTCCGCCTTATCACTCTCCTGCTAAGAAAGTCAAGAAAAACACAACAACCTAAATCTCTTTCCATCCCAAGATCTCCCTTGTGGTAACCAGATGCCTTGTCACTGCTTAACCCATTAGAGAAGAAAAATTTCATTCATGCAGGAAGACCTCTCTCTTTTTCCAGTGCAGCCAAAGAATCATCCAAAATGTCTGGCTGCCTCATGCTGTTGGCTCAAAAGCCAAGAGAC